ATTGATGATGACATCATACTGAAACAGTGGAGTGATGGTGGGCCAATGGGGAAGGGAGAACAATCAAGGGTCAGCAGTGTGGAACATAGAAAAAAAATACACACAGAACACACACTGGGACGTAACAGTGACCCAGTAATATATAGCCCCACACAAAGACACACCAGAGGGACAAGAAAGGCACAGAAAAACTAGGAACAGGACAGAGTAGAAGCGCCCTTTGGCTGTAGAGGGCTTGACAACTATTTTGAGAATTTTAGGAGCTTAAGCCCACACATATAATGTTTGAGTGATATAATGAATAGTGCTTCCATTATAATGACAGCTTAATAATAATTATCAACAGCTTTGTGTATTAACTATTAACACTGAGCTACTAAGCAGAAACAGCTCTTGGGAATAGTATTGAATACATAACAGTAAAGGGGAAAGAAACAGAAGCAATACAGTTCGTGGAAAAGGGAAATAGTGAAAATAATGTGGTATCTGGGTTTCAATGTACAATATATGAATGTCTTCAAATGTGATGTAAAAAAACTCACCAGAATTTAAAAGGATGATGGCCTTAAGACACACAAACTCCTCTGTCTTGAGATTCAAGGTGCGGAAACGACAGACAGTGGCTAAGAGCATATCAAAGATCTCCACCATCCCTTCGACACAGCTGCCCTCATTCCTGTGGAAGATACACAGAGGACCTTCACTCCACGCTGTGATAGTTTCACTGAGAGAAGTAATTGAAATTTAAATGCCTCTCCGTGACTGACTGTAGCTTTCCATTTGAGTGCCAGTTTACTTTTCTGACAATCCCCATCAGACTAAGTAATTACATTTGATCAAACTTCACCCTCTTCTTTATTGCTCTGATTTACTCAGAGAAAGAGAGTGCTTGATCTTCCAATGTTGACCATGAGTTCATTATCAAATATTCCTTTTTTCTTGATAAAATGTATGAAATAAGTATAAAGGGAGGTGGAAATATATAATTTTACTACATAGTTTTTGCAGTTAATGAGAAAATCTGATTTCTGCGTCAGACTATATTTCTGAAAAGCAAAACACGTTAAATAAAACCCCACAGCAGAATTCTGGCTGCTGAATGATTTCTTTTCTCACAGCTACAATTATTTGTGTCAGATTTCTATTTCCGTATCATTAATCTGGCACACATTCAGAGTGAAACATAGAAATAGAAAGAAGAAGAACCTCAATGATTTTGTCTAACAAAACAGTAATATGATTACTGAACTCAAAACAACAAGTTAATACAGTATAAAGAAAATAAAGGCATTGGGGGCCAACTATGATGAAAATGTGTCTTGCCAATGGCGTAGCCTTTTAAACCGCACTTTATAAGTTTCTAAGGTTCTTATCTGTTTTACAGGGCCACAAAAGCCCAGATAATCTCCAGGAATTTGGAGTGGATATTTCTGTACTGTGGGCTGTCACAGATTAAGTGGTTAGCAGCATTGATGAATTGGTTGTTTATATAAAAAGTGATTTAGCTCCTGGCTAAAAGAAAATGTTGGCAACAAAGGCAATATATGGTTTGATAACCAGAAGTAAAACCATTCTTCTTGGGAATTAAGCACATCTATCCATCTATCTATGGGACCAGTCTTGTAACCTGCATAAAGTACTATGGGCAAGGTGATAATACATAATGTAAATATAATAAATAATCCTTATACGTATAGAGCGCTTTTCTAGACACTCCACTCAAAGCGCTTTAAAGGTAATGGAGACTCTCCTCCACCACCACCAAGTGTAGCACATACCTGGATGATGCAACAGCAGTCATAATGTGCCAGTACACTCACCACACATCAGCTGTCAGTGGTGAGGAGAATAGAGTGATGAAGCCAATTTATAGATGGGGATTATTAGGGGACAATGGTTGGTAAAGGCCATGAAGAACTTTGGTTAGGGCACTGGGGTTATTACTGTTTTCATTAAATGTTCTGGGATTTTTCATAACCGCAGAGTCAGTACCGCAGTTTCATCTCATCCAAAAGACTGCACCTTTTTTAATCACTATAGTGGGGCAATAGAACCCACACAGACAGCAGGTGAGGCCTCACTAACACTTCTTCCAGCAGCAACCTTCCAGGAGGTCTCCCATTCAGGTACTGGCCAGGCTCACATCTTCAGTGGGTAGTCAGTTGTGAGTTGTAGGGTGATATAGCTGCTGGTAATTCAATGTGAACAAATGGGGTTTTCAAATAATATGGACAAAACAGGCAAGAGATATCTAGAAAGCTACCTGCAGAAACTTTGCAAAGCCTGGAATTCAATCTTACTAAACTGAAGAGAAACTGGACTACAATCTGAAAGAACCTTACTTGTGCCCTTAAACCAGTCTGAATGTATTGTGTAGTATATTAAGAATTGTACAGACAAGTTGTGTTATTTTTTTTCTTTTTGAAACAGAACAGCTAATACTAACACAAGTCCCATGTCTCTCTGATGCGTTTGCTTTGGCTCTTGAGTTGTTTACCATGATTTGTAACAGTGCTACTGACATGATGTGTGAAGGTAGAAGAAGCAGAGAAAGGCAGAAGGGCCCCTTGCTATGAAATAAAAAAATATTAAGTACTTATTTATCAGTGGCAGGTGCTTGTTGCAGGTGCCAGAGTATTGAAATTCAATCCAGAGTACACACAAACAATACTATGGATTTAATTTAACCTTGAACCTTTAAGTGTTTCATTCCTAAAAGCATTTTTAAAGTTAGACATTTCCAGAAGTCTTGTGCAGTATCTATCAGCTTCTTGGATATTGTTATTTAAAAAAATGTTTTTACCTCACTACTTCTGTTTATATATTAAAAGCAGACACCTTTCATCCAATACCACAAAAGATATTAAAGAGAAGTCATCCAGTTAGTCAATTAATAACAATTCTGAGAAATTGTAGCTAACTTAAAAAAAAATGAATGTCAAAGAGAAGGCCATGAAGTTCAAAATATAATGAAGTGAAATGTAGGTCACCCTGACAAACTGATTCATTTTTAATTGGAAACATTGTTACATACTTAATCACATTTTTAACTTATCTGACTATCACTATGTATTTCTCTTTTTTGGTTGACCAGTTGTGCGTAGCCTTCTTGATAAATTAGTGAGCAAAAAGGTACTTGATATGCAATACATTTCACAATATGATAGAATTAATGAATTTTTCTACAGTTTGTGGTGTTCATTTGAGCTCGCCCCAGGTATTTTGTATTTAAAAATGCTGTTATATTTATTTTCTGTTTCCTGCTTAATTTATTGCAGTTTAAGATACTTAACACAATTCTTAATTAACTTATTTTTTATGAGATTTTTTTTTATTAAAGTGGCTGGCACTATTAGAAAAGCAGAAGGCATTCTTTTTTTCAAATTCACTCTTTAAGAGGAAATTAAACAGTTCAAGGAAGACTTCTAATGCCTCATCAACATTGAAAACAGACAAAGAAACAGACTGAGCAAGTGTAAATTGTCCTGCTTGGCACCTGGACGACGAGATTAGTATTTCAGGCTCACTGAACCAGCAACTCTTCATATGTCCTTGTGAAGAGCCAGCGGTATGGATCAGTATGTGGTGTTTAGTGAGATGAAAGGCATAGAAAGTACAGCCTGTACCTGAAAAACATGTATATTTCTGAGTGGTATGATTAATTCACTCATATTCTCGTCTTTTTTGGGGGAGAAAAAAAGAGCTCTTGGAAGCAAATAGAACATTTTCCACAGAAAGCTATTTTAATTAAATCTTCAGAGCACCTTTTGCAAGGGAGGGAGAGATTGCCAGTCTGAAAATGAAACAGGAGCAATTTTAAAAAATGTTTCCTAGAAGGCTACATATCAACTTACTGATACCAATGTTAAGACTGGGGTCATTATTTAGCAAAATAACACATTTTAATTATTTTTATGGAATGATAACCACAGTTTACAGGATTTTTGTTTTTACTGGAAAAATTGAATGCATTTACATTCGCTAACCAGTTTCACATCATACACTATATATACTGTATTTACTTGGTATATAATATCTGAATTGAAAATAAGAAATATTCCATAATTCCATTCCACAGTTGTGTGGAAGATATGATTTTGTTTTAAAGTTATATAGAGATATGTCAATGGTATGTTGTACTGCCTGCAGAATTAGATTAATACATGAGAACACAGTACATATTTTGGTAACTATAATGAGATCAAGCGCCTCAGGTTTTTTTTTTTTTTAGTTTTAGACACAATAACAGGATGCCAGTTTGGCTAAGGAAGAAAGGAAAAGAGCTGGAGTGATGCTTATTTGAGGCCAATTACAGTTCAACAAATATCTTTTGACTTATTAGTGGGACTTTTTGTCTCACTTTTTTTAATCAAGCCTTGGGAGCCATATCTCAGAAGTTTTAGACAATGGTGAGACGGTGTTAGAATGATATAAGGCACTGGCAAAATCAAATCACCCCACTAGTGCCTGGTTTGGTCTCATCTCCTATTTTCTATCCAACAGTAGAGCTCAGGTGTTTATCCAGATACACAGTAGTTGGCCTTGTAACATTATGATATCAGAGGTCAGTATACTGAGATGTAAATGGCTATTCAGTTGTACATGTAGAACATAAGAACAAAAAATCAATTATCTTGTTGTTTGTTTGGGAAATGAATTATTAGTCCAAACAAAGATATTTATTTAATTGCACAAATGTATGAGCGCACCATTACTTTTTTATAAAGGGTTGTTTGCTTTACCTAATCATCCTGAAACTTCACAGTTTGATTAAAAGTACAAAAAACATGACAAGGATGTCTAAAAACGTCTTTGATATTTTTCTGTCATATTTTCATATTTCACAATTTGGAAATAACATTATTCTGTTGATTCCCTGTATTATTTCTTAGCAGCACTGTGCGGCAATCATTTAAGGACAAACAGTTAAATGCAGAATTGAGATTAAATAAAGGTAAGCCGTTTCTTTCCTGGCATCAGTCAAGGAACAGCAAATAAGGCATTGCAACAGCTGAGTAAAGAATACACTGCTGGAAATGATCAGGACTAGACTTGTGTAACAAAGAAGAAGTAGAGGCTGACAATGCACTGTCAGAACAGCTCTACGTACATCCAATCAATTCTCCAAGCCCTGTTTAAATAAACAAATAAATATATACAGACATACAAAAATGTTTCTGCGACTTCACACCCGAAGAAGGCTCCACAGCCAAAACATAGTGTTTCCTTTCTTCTCTTTTCAGCATGGAATAAACCTTTACTTGTTTCTTCTACTGCTGCATTGTTCACATTGTTAACTACTGGGCATTGAAAGTTCTTGTGATTACTTCTGGTTTTAAACAGTTTTCGATATTCATAGAGTCATTGCTCTGAAGGCTAAGTTTCATATGTTTTTATGATTTCATGAATGATAACCCAAATATTCAAAATTAGATCAATAATTAAGAAGCAGAACTATATTTCATGAAGAGAGTCTTTAATATACCTATATATTACTTCATGGGTTTCTGTTTCACAAATGGGATGTACAGTTAGAAATGTCATAATTCAAAGTAATCCTGGCTCCCAGAACAATGTAACTGAATTTGGTTTATAAACAGTTGAGTGGCTATACAGTATGCAACCTGTCCAGTGTCACAGACTGGAATGGCTTGTTCATCCACACATATAATGAGCAGGTGTATTCCCCCTCTGAGTTCTTGTCATCAAAATTGTCAAAATTGTCAAGACATGTTGCTAAGATATAAGTCTGAGATAAAATGGATTTTTTTACTTTTAGTAGAAAGGTTTTACCAACCTGTCCAGAATCAGGTCAGGAGCAAAAATGAGTTTCCCGGGAGACTCCATTGAGCGCCAGATGAGTCCAATCATTAACACCTCTAACCAGGAGCTCTCCAGCAGCTGCACTTGGTCATGAAGAGATAAATCCAGAAACCCTGGGGACAAAACAGGCAGAGCTCATAGAAATGATTTCATTCTCAAAGACAACGAATAAACTATAAATTTCTAAGACAAATGATGAAGATAAATTATAATACATAATTAATGTAAGGACAGTGCAATGTATTTCAAAGGCTTGAACGTACCTGTGTGATGGTGAAAAATGATTGAGATATTTTATTTTAATTCAGATAGAAAACTATTTATTTATGTTTACATTTAAACGTTTAGAAGACTGGATGACCACACACTTTTTCAAGGAGCTCTGATGATCACTCCAAATTTAATTGGAAACAGAAGTAGATTACAAACAAATAGCAAAAAAATCTGACTACAACACAGCAGCCGTATCACCCTGCAACTCACAACTGACAACCCACTGAAGCTAAGCAGGCGTAAGCCTGGTCAGTACCTGGATGGGAGATCTCCTGGGAAAAACTAAGGTTGCTGCTGGAAGAGGTGTTAGTGGGGCCAGTAGGGGGTGCTCACCCTGCGGTGTCCATGTGGTTCCTAATGCCCCAGTATAGTGACAGGGACACTATACTGTAAAAACAGGCGCCGTCCTTCAGATGAGACGTAAAACCGAGGTCCTGACTCTCTGTAGTCATTAAAAATCCCAGGGCGTTTCTCGAAAAGAGAAGGGGTGTAACCCCGGTGTCCTGGCCAAATTTCCCATTGGCCCTTACCAATCATGGCCTCCTGATAGTCCCCCTCTATGAATTGGCTTCATTACTCTGCTCTCCTCCCCACTGATAGCTGATGTGGGGTGAGTGTTCTGGCGCACTATGGCTGCCGTCGCATCATCCAGGTGGATGCTGCACATTGGTGGTGGTGGAGGGGAGTCCCCATTAAAGCAAAGTGCTTTGAGTGGAGTGTCCAGAAAAGCGCAATATAAGTGTAAGCTATTATTATTATTATAATTATTCTTACTTATGGGAGAAGAATGGAAGAGCACAGCAAAAGTGTTGTGAGGGTAAGGATTTTAGCTTTATACAATGAAAGGACCATACATTTCTCAACATAGCACCGTACAGTACAGCACTGTATAGAATGATACAAGGTAATGCTTGTTCACCACACACTTTTGCATTATGCTACAACTGGTATTGACATTTTTCCAGAATGTTTCAGAAATTTCAATCTAGACTTTCTGTCTATAAACTGAATGTTCCAGTTAAAAAATACAACTGTCGGGCACATCTAAATTTATGTGCCTTTTTACTGGCTAATGTATTGTGTCAGCCCACTGGTATTTCAAATCACTTGGTAGCTCCCCAAATTATCAAGAACTCCCTCTCACAATTCAGAACACCAAGCTTGTGTCATGTAGGAGGAAGCTCTGAAATGTGCTGGGGATTCATTACGTTTTTAAATTATTTTCTCCAGACCATGCATCAGTTTACCAAACTTATTACCCTTATAACCCTTTTGTCTTTTAACTAGAATGTGTTTTGAACACTGAAATATGGTGCACAGAACAGTTTTTGCACTGTTTTTAGAAAAACAGTTTACTGTACATCCATTACAGTCTACTCCATTCTAATTATTAATATTCCTAAGGAAAAAAACATTATATTTTTCAGGTAGTATTAGTCAGCAATCGTACCACTACTACATATACATGTATACTGTATATATGCAGATAAATATATTTAAACCTCTCTGAATTGACTAAAATGTACCTTCCCACAGACAATTCCACCATATCTTATTATTGAGCCATGTCGTAAGATCTGTGGTAAACTATACAGTTCATAACAATTGCAACAAAATGGTAACATTCTGCCCTATAATGTCCAGTTTGTTATTAATTATTATTAATTTACTATACTGCCCCATTGATCCAGAGTGGCTTATACTTAATTAACAACAATGCTTTGGTTTTTCAATTCACTTTTTATCTTAATGTATCCTGTGCTTTATATATGGGAGACAAATTAGTCAAGCAAGCATCACATACAGTATGTGCCAGCAGCCCCACTGCACAGCAGATCAGGTGGAAAAGAGAGAAAATTACTTCACATATTGAATTAGGCAGACCAGACTGAACAAGACCAAAATATAAGTTAGTCATGACTCTGGGGTATCACACCTACTCTTATGAATAGTGCCATCTGATCTTTAATGACCAGTCACATTAACATCTCACTTCCTACAGTGCAGTTCAGAACCATACTGGGACATTGGATTGGAAATTCTAGTCCAGAGTAAACAGTGTCATCTTCTAGTCCACTAAAAACCATTTACAAGTTGATTTCCTTTGAGGTGTTTTATCCCACCCACTGACCAGACCCAACATTGATTCATTTATGAGATGTGACATTTCGTTTGTACATATTTACACAAATGGGTATTTCAATGTACAGTAGCATGCTGAATGAAGAACTTTTCTCAAGGGTTCAGCATCCGTGCGCAACAAGAGATTTGAACCTACAATTTCTAGTTATGTGTCATTCCAAACCCTAGCCACTTCTCCACACTGTTCACTATCTTTTGCTTGTTTCTCATTCTACTCAAACTCACTTTTCTTACAGCATGGACCCGATCTCCAGCAGAGATTACAATATGATCCAAAGTGCTTCTATAAGATCTATAGTATCTGCAACACCAAAAACTGATCTGACTGTCTCAGAATTATATGATATTGGGTCATATTTGCTGCATGTCACCCACTGTAAATTCTGTGCTGAAGACTTGAGTTTTGGGCATGATGCATCCAATTGTTTATGTCAGTCTTTTTGTCTTTTTAATCTGACAAACAACAGGCTATTTGCTATACCTGGACTGATCCCTACAAACCTACTTCCTTTTTTGACAGTAGGACAAAAAGCACTGTCCTTTCTGCTAACATCACTTTGAAATTAATGTGTATGATTTTTTGGACAAGATGAAAATGTGAAAAGCAGGAATTCGGTAGCTACACAAAGTTTTTTGAGAGGCATAGCCTGTATTGAGTTTTGCATCAAAGCTCATCCAGCACCTCTCCAGCATACGTATCCTTCAACAATGTAGTGCATGTCCAGATTGCACTGACCCACAACACAGGTGATGATTGATTAACAGCTGTTAAAAACACAATAATGTGAAATGAGTTTAAAAGTGAAGTGGATCAAATGATATGAATAAGTGATGAGGCAGAATAAATTCCTGCATGCTTGTTTTAGTTCCTCTGTTGTCTATTTATCATAATTTGCCTTCAAGTCAAATAACAAAGGATGACTGGACAAGATATTTTGCAAACACTTGGCATTGATGATTTAACAGTTTTCTCTATTTGTTCTATGTATTTTGAGTATGATGTGTTGGTAGACCAAACATGCATCACTTAAGGTCATATCCATATAGCAAAAAATACAAGCATAAAACTGATATTTCTACTAGCACCATTACTAGTGACATGGCTCCCAAAGCAAACATTCATGTCTTAAAAAATCCTGTTTTTAAAATATTCTTTCGTTTAATTTCTTAAAAATGTAAATACTATGTCTACACTGCATTGTTCCATGGAGGATTGAATAAAACATAAATTACAAAGATAAACTGATGCACAATGAAAACACTCGTGTTTTACTTCAGTCGCTAATTGGATACATAAGTAATGTTATGTACATTTTAAACGTTTAGCCGATATGGTTGTTGACAGTTTGAGCAGTATTGGTCTCTTGGGATAAAACATTGAGCTCCTGTCACGTGATTTTATAAAACCGCCAGGTGTTCAGTGATAGGTGGCTGAAATTAGTTCAATCTGCCTAAATGAGTTGATTAAGAATCTGCTTAAATTGCCATTCTAATTAATGCAAGAGCAACAAAAAATATGGCCATGTTCCGCTTTTGTAATGCACATCAGCTGGTTGCTATTGGAATGACTGAAAATGGCCTGTTTATGAGGGACATTACTAAGAGAGTGAGACCTTCTGCTTCAACAGACAGCATGCTAGTTCAGACAAACTAGGAAAACAGCTCACTGAGGTAATCTTTCCAGCCCTGGTACAGGCAGACTATTTCAGTGCTATTTTATGTGTTTAGTTGATCTGCTTTCCTGTTTAGCCCTTAAGTTAACTTTCTGTCAATGAAAACAAGAAACTTTGTTTCTGCACTCAGTCCTGAGTTTCAAAGCATCCAATCTGAAGGTTGCCGTTTTCAACAGCTTCAATATACAGAACTTTAAGGAAATTATGTTAATCTTCCTTACTATTATTTTTTACTTAACCACTCTTAATATGTGATGAACAGACACAGGTGGGAAAGACACTGTTTTAGTGGAAGGTACAGTACATTCCAGGCAAGGGACCAGAATAAGCACAGTTTGGAAACTCAGAAACTTGTACAAATGTTTTGGTATTATTAGTTGATTGGAAATACCCTTTGACCTTTTAGGAATTAAAATCAAAATTTGAAATATGCCAGAAAGAGAAAAGTGAAATCCATTAGCCTGTGATTAAGAACTAGGCAGAGGACACAGGGGTCTCCCACTGACTCATAGTTGGGAACTCACCCCATCAGCCCAGGACTGTCACATCAATCTGATCCATATGCATTAAGTTCACTGCAGTGGCTACAGCATGAAAAATTCCAAGAAGGTTTGAACTGAACATTAGCAAAAAAAGCTATAGCTTTCCGTCTGAGTGCAAATGACCTGCATGCTCAGAAGCCCTCTCAGAAGGAGCACACTGACAACTTCAGAGTGCAAGATGGAGGTAGAGAGAGTGGTGGAGTGTTTTAGTCACCAACAAATGCCATTTTGTCCCTGAGAGACCTAATAAAAGACAGTGTGGAGATCTCCAGCTGATGGCCACTCTTGACTGCTGCAGTGGTTAAGCCACCCAAGGCCAGACAACCAGGATATTGTGCTTCTCTAAACATTAGAATATGCATAACACATGAATTATATACTGTACATTACATGGCCTATGCTATGTCTGCTTTTTCAACTGTTGTTTAAGTAAAACACTTTAAGTGCCATGGTGGTTAAAATAAAATACAAAATACAGAGGTGCTATCTGTTTTAAAAATGAGAATCACAAAAAACATCAAATGAAAACTTGGTGTCTAGGAAGCAGTAATTAAGATTTCAAACAAGCATCAAAGTGCTTTAGTTTATATTTACACAAATGAGCTCTCACTTCATTCACATTTACAGCTTAAAGCAAATTGTACCCTGTTGGGAAAAGCTTTAGGAAACAGAAGTCTGAGATTTTGTTTGTACATTTAAATTTTAAATGACGCTTCTATCTTTTAACCTTCTCCAGTGCTAATGAGCAGTAATCACCTTTTACAAACAACAGAAGACAATAAATTCTGTTTTTCAAAGCTTGCCAAATTGAGATGCACTCTTTGGTGCAGTTTAAGGACTAATTAAAATCTTCAAATTTAACTGCTTTTTGTACTTCACTCTCACCATTATGTATTCTGTGGTGTCAGTCATTAAACTACAGAAAAAAATAAACAAAATAGTCCCTTTCCTCAATTGAAAATATACTGCTCACAAAAAGAATTAACAGGAATTTTAAAGTCCAGCACACTACAAAAATATTCAGTGCCTCAGAAAAATATTCACCCCCATCAATGATCTGATTTTTTGTTGAATGACAAATTATGTACTGTAAATACAGTACATTTTAAACTCAATAATTTTTTAGCAAAACTATCATGCTCAAACTGAACATTTTTATGAGGGAAAGAAGTTAAATGTAACACCTTTAAAGGCTTAAACAGCAATAAGAAAAAAAGGTTTGTAATGTTCTTTATAGTTTGCCAGTAGCTTAAATCCTGAATGTCAGTACCATTTGCAAGGGAGTATATCCAGCAGCCATATCACCCTGCAACTCACAGCTGGAAGCCCACTGAAGTTAAGCAGGTGTGAGCCTGGTCAGTACCTGGATGGGAGACCTCCTGGGAAAAACTAACGAAGGTTGCTGCTGGAAGAGGTGTAACCCTGGTGTCCTGGCCAACTTTCCCATTGGCCCTTACCAATCATGGCCTCCTAATAGTCCCCCTCTATGAATTGCCTTCATTACTCTGCTCTCCTCCCCACTGATAGCTGATGTGTGGTGAGTGTTCTGGCGCACTATGGCTGCCGTCGCATCATCCAGGTGGGGCTACACATTGGTGGTGGTGGAGGGGAGTCCCCATTACCTGTAAAGCGCTTTGAGTGGAGTGTCCAGAAAAGCACTATATAAGTGTCAGCAATTATTATTATTATTTATCTATTTATTACTGCGGCCATACTATGATAAGACTTAGACTAAATCTTGCATAAAAGCAACCAAATTAATATCCTGGATTAAACACATACATATATCAGTAAAAGAGTCATGGACACTCGTGTAAGGATGTGAATTAACAGGCTGTAATTGATGACACAACTGAAACGATGTAAACTCTTCATTTGTGATTCCAAGTTTCAACTCTTGACTGATGGGAATATCAATCTTTCACGATGGGCACTGTTCCTGCTCATGCTATTTACTCATTTTTCCTGCTTTGGTAATGCTTAAAAGAAGGCACTATTCTTATAACTTTTAGAAGTATTTTAAAACACTAGTCTAAGTTAGAAGTTTTTTCTTGAACCCCTTTCCTTACAGCACTGTGGTTCCATGAAGTGTTGTGTTGAGGCCAAAAAGGAGCAGAAACGTCTCTATGGTGCACTTTGGCTTTTTAGCTGTTTTTGGCATCTTCTACATAAATCATCGTGTTGAAGAAAGGAAAGAATGTCTGAGTTTCTTATCATACGTGGTTAAAAATAAAACAGAGGAATCAACCCTAGAGTTCCCAAGACAAAAAAAGCCTTTATACCTCAATCAGATGGAGGCAGCAATTATTCAGCACGCACACAAATACTTCAGAAGTACACTGTCACATTTACACTGTGTCCTGATCCTTCTGTACTCATTATCTGCACCGTTGATTCTTTACCATCAGTCCCGGACCTCGACCTCAATTTAAAAGGCATATTTTAAACCTCAGAAGGAGACTTTTGTGCAGCATTGATGAAGTGATATATCCTTATTTGGTTATACCCTTTCATGAAAGCCCACACTAAGGTACTCTATCAGCCTCAAATTGTAAACAAACTAAATTGGTATGTGACAAAATAGATTACTACAAAATCGAAAATGTACAATATGAATAAGCTATTAGCCTTCTTATAACACTTCAGGCTTATATGGACTGCTCTGGAAAATGTATAGTTATATACTTTGTTTTTCATTTATAAACTTTGAAGAACTTAAATCAGTAAAGCCCTGTAATAGAGTAACAGTTTGTCAGATCGCAAATCATTGTTGCCTAGATTAATCTCTGGAATGGTTATGAACCATAAAATGGGAACACAACGTTATGTCTGTTTTCAAGTTAGTAAGCCTGTGTGGTTAATTTAGTGTTTCAAAACTTACATGCTTGATTGCAGCCTAAAGCAGTAAATTATTCTCTGAGTCAGTTGCTTTTAGTTTTGTCATTTACTTGGACTGATCTTAATCCTGCTGTGATGGTGAAGGGCTGTGGACCTGCTACTGGATTAGCAACAGTGAGTCAGTAATTCTTTCCTGTTCAGAGGTTAGTGACTTTTCAAATCACAGCCCCTCTAATACTTCTTGCTTTTTTGAAAAGGGGACTTGTTAATCATATACTCAAGAGAAGGCTATTCTTCTTTTAAAGTAAAAAAGAATTTTGTATACACAGTAAGCCCTGCACTTGTTCCCTTTGATTTGCACTTTGATTTTTTTTATCTCTTGCCACACAATAGCGCACATACTGTACTTGATTAGAAACCATATAAAGAGAGCACACAGCTAATAGTATCCTTACACTTATATAGCGCTTTTCTGGACACTCCACTCAAAGCTCTTTATAGGCAATGGGGACTCCCTTCCACTACCGCCAATGTGTAGTACCCACATTGATCCAGTACGCTCACCACACATCAACTATCAGTGTGGAGGAAAACAAAGTGATGATGCTAATTCATAGATGGGGATTATAAGGAGGCATTGATTGGTAAAGAACAAGGGAAACTTTGGCCAATATGCCAGGGTTAAAACCCCCAGTCTTGTCAAGGAATGCCCTGGGATTTTAATTACCTCGGAGAGTCACAACCTTGGTTTTATGGCTCATCTGAAGGGCGGTGCTTTTTTTTTTTACTTTGTCCTCATTGATACACTGGGACATTAGGACCTACACAGACCATAGGATGAGTGCTCCCTGCTGGGACCACCACTTACCTGGCAGGGGCGATACCATAATCACACAGGTGGTTTGCCCTGGGGGAGGCTCAGCCATTGCACACTGGCTGTGCTGACCCCTGCGAATTCCCCCAATGTGGGAATCTCGACTTTAAAATTTTCGTCTAGAGGAGGAATGCGTTCGCACTCTTCCCTGATCGGGGCGGTGCGATGGGTCTGTGGCTAAGGATCTGGCTGGAAGGTTGCTGGTTTGTATCCCATGGTCCACAGAGGACTCCTACTCCGTTGAGCCCCTGAGAAAGGCCCTTAACCCCATCTGCTCCAGGGGCACCGTATAAATGGCTGACCCTGCATTCTGATCCCCAGCTTTTCTCCCTGTCTGTGTGTCTCATGGAGAGCAAGATGAGGTATGGGAAAAGACAAATTCCTAATGCAAGAAATTGTATATGGCCAATAAAGTGATCTTATCTTATCTATCAGCTTTCCCACCAGGAGAGGGGTCACTAGTTGTGAGCTGCAGGGTGATATTGCTACTTCAAAAAAAAAGCAAGATTCTGGTGTGATGAAGGTAAAGTTAATTGTTCAGTATAATAGGAATATTTGTGGAAATGTTTGTGTTTGGTAAAGCATTGGTTTTGCTTTGACAGTTGCAGTGGCCTGTTTATTTTTGGCTCCTAGCTGTGGTCCAGTTATTTAAGGTAAACCTCAGTAAGTCCTGTATTTATATTTTGAATCTTAAATTTTACCTGACTGGTTCAAAGCCTAACACTTCCTTTGCTTAATCATATACCAAAGAGACAGAAAACAATACATTCCATAGATCTAATATCGAATTTGAAAATGTCATGGCCCAGTCTATTTAAATTTCTAGCCACTTGAGAGAGAAAGAGCTTGCTCTTACCCGGTACTTTTTTTGCCCATGCTATCATGTGCACTAGCTCCTTGTCAGCCAGGTTGGTGAGCAGGCTCATCATGGTGACTTCCGTGTATGGCCTTGTGTGCTCTTGCTTGGAGCACAGTGTCGGCGGCTCGGCGCTCATCAGGAAGTGCAGGACCTGGTCCACGGACAGGTTCAGGGCTGGGTTCTTTTTCCTGAGATCCGGGGCCTCCAGGGAAAGCAAAGTTCTCCTCTGAGGGGGGCTGCAGTCCCTGTAATCCTTCTCCTCCAGCTCCACTCCCTTGCGCTTCACTTTCTGTAGGTGTCTGCCCCTGCGGTCCTTCCGCACTCCTGCCGGGAACAGACGCTACAGTCAATAGTGACATTATTGTTACTTTTTTCCCCTGTTGCTGAAAAATTACAAACTTTAAATCCTGGTTTAACCCACATTGACTCTCTCCCTGTAACAGATTACCACACTTGTACCTGATGGGTTACAGTAGAAAGGAGGACAGAATAAGAATAAGCAAAACTAGCTGAGCAAGTAGGGGAATTTTGTCATTAGCGGGATGGGGTCATTCGTTTTCTTAATCCAAGCCTTAGAGAACCAGTGGAGGAAGGCTGATGTCCCTGCAAACTTTCAGGTCCTCAGACTCAATGTTTTGTTGCTGGTCATGGAAGAACTGACCAAGTCAAGCCCTTGGCCAAATCCAGCAGTGTGTGGGCTGTTGTGTGTTGCTGCTTGGACACAAGCAGTCTTGACACAGCCCAGACTCTAACCAGTGTCATCTAGGTTAGTGTAAGGTTAATTCCTTACACTTACATAGCACTTTTCTGCACACTCCACTCAAAGCGCTTAAAAGGTAATGGGGACTCCCTTCCTTCACCACCAATGTGCAGCCATAGTGCGCCAGTACACTCACCACACACCAGCTATCAGTGGGAAAGAGAACAGAGTGATAAAACCAATTCAAAGATGGGGATTATTAGGAGGCCATGATTTGGTAAAGGCCAATGGGAAATGTGGCCAGGACATCAGGGTAACACCCCTACTCTTTTCAAGAAACACCCTGGGATTTTTAATGACTGCAGAGAGTTAGGACCTCAGTTTTACGTCTAATCCAAAGGACAGCCCGTTTTTACAGGACACTAGGGTATTAGGACCCACACAGGCAGCAGGGTGAGTACCTCCTACTGGCCTCACTAATACCTGTTCCAGCAGCAACCTTAGTTTTTCCCATGATGTCTCCGGACCAGGTACTGGCCAAGCTCACACTTGCTTAGCTTAAGTGGGGTGCCAGTTGTGAGTTGCAGGGTGATATGGCTGCTGTATGTGTAGCGGAGCTAGTTTGGGCATGGTGACATCATCACCCTCCCTGCGCGTAGCAGGGACCTCAGCCACCTGGACTGAGGGAGGACTCCTTTAGCTCACTTGGCTGGTTCCCTGTTGAATTATGCCGGAGACCTGGGTTCACGCCCAGTTGTTGTGGGACAAACTGGCAGGGTGGAGCTGTGAGGGCATGAGCCTGTGCAGAACCAAGATGGTCACATGTGTAATATGTGATATTTCCTTAATATGTAAGGAAATATGGAAAGTAGTTTTACGCATCTTCATATGGTAGTAATACATATGTGTGTCATGATACAGAAGAGAACTGTCAATATCTGCTACCAGTACTGCCTCCTATTTGCCTCTCTGCAAGAGACTGGATAGCTCCCATATAACAGAACACTTACTGAGTCACGCTCTTAGTTAAAGAGTACATGACAAGCAATGAAAACTAAACCGTGAAGCTTAATAATGAATATAGAAGAACATGTACTGTAAGTGTCCACAGGAATCATCACCAATCGTCTCCTCTCAATATTCTAATATTTACAGGTTATTAATCATTTCTTTAAATAATACTTATTCTGCAATATTATTGATTACAATACTAATATTGCAATAATATGGGTTTTCATTACGTAAATGGTACATGTTGCGTGTAAGATTTGAGTTCCTTTAATGTTATTTATGAATTTGTAGAAAGTTCTTCTTGTTGTCTCCTTGTAGCGCATGGTGATGCCGGCAACATTTTAAAGGTTTGGTTCCAAATAAAGGAGCTGGAACCTAAGATGGAAGTAGTTATTATTAGTAGTAATAATAATTGGTAGTAGTTATTAGTCTTATTATGGTAGTACTAGGTTATGCTCTTTGTTTAAATAACAGTGAAGCAACAAAAACACTCAGACAAATGATGTCTGTTCAATATTTTTTTTTTATTTACTGAGATGGCCATCCCATGCCTGGAATGCTGAGAACTGTAATAAATACCTTGATCAAGAGCACATCAGCAGTATCTGCGATGATGACTTGAACCTATGTCTCTCTTGTAAGGTTTTCGGCTTGTTCGCCATGTTCCACAATAAGACCTTAGCAATGAGCAATCCTTTACCACTCCAGGCATGGCTGCACATGAGCCAGTAACGCCTGCTGCGTGGTCATAGTGTATCACAAGTTACCCTTTAATCCATTTCTCATTTTGATAATCATTTACCTTTCAGCAGAAGCAATGAAAACACTGAACGTTTAATGTGCACATTGTTTTCAAGGGTGACCCTTCACCCCCCCACCCCAAAAAACATCTGTACATTGAATAAATGGATGCAAAACAGTTAACGAGGTCCTTTGCCTAATTAGCTCGAATTGATTATTAGTTATTAAAAAACACTTAGAAGAACCGTGATTTTCGAAAAGTTGAAAAAGTGTACTTGTATACTGATGATTTTAAGAGCCAGCACCCTTAAAGGCAGCATCTTTGTGATGCAGATATCCCTCATCTATCTATCTATAGCATGTGGACTGTGACCATGTTAAATTATATCTTGATACATGTTCATGAATTGGTTACTTGCAATTTTTACAGAGGTCTGAAGAAAGTCTTTTTCCCGTCAGTGAGTTCTACTGATAAGTAGGGAGCATTATGCTTAGAAGCTGGATGTTATAACAGACGGTATTAACTATTTCCTCTGGTTTTGGCTTGGTGCCCAAAGCCAACTCAGTCAGAAAGGGAGCTGCAAATTGATCAGATACTGCACTTTCCTTTTTTTGACACCAGTGCTACATTGCAGAAATCGTATGGCCACAGTGTATTAATAATTGCATGCACTAAGTTCACAGAAAATAAATCAAAACTAATTTGAGACACATTCAATAATTAATGAGGAATCATTAAATAATAATCCACTATAGAACTACTCAATGTCTGAACAAAATTTTAAAAACAAATGCTACTACAAATTTACTGACACTGCAAGTGTTATCAATTCCAATTGGAAAGCATTTCTATAAATTAGTGGAATAAAAGAATAAATTCTTATTCTTATCTATTATGTATCTCATGTTGAATGAGGAAATGAATGAGGAAAATGAACAAGGAAATGAAGCTCTTGTAAACATACTTGAAGAAAATAGACCTAATTTTAAATGCTCCATGCACACAGAGATAGACGCATCAGACTATTTTAAACTAATTGATATGGATTATCAATTCTGCAAGCATATGGTAATTTGTCTAGTAATATGAGATTATATATACAATATTATATCATGCTAGGAAGGTGTAATGGGCTTTATTATCAAGTTTGGACATGTTGTTTCCTTGAAATCATTTCAACCTGATTCAGATTCCCTGAATATATAATAGCTCATAATCTGACAACTCTAAACCTTCTTTCAATTGATTTTGAAATATGAAATAAAATTGTAATTTACATAATGCGACACTGAAATAAAATATTGATACATTTTGTTTGCTAATTAAAATATTAATTAATGGCAAAAGAGAAAAAACGTTCTGCTACTTTTTTTTGTTTCCGTCAGTACTACATGTATTGCTTCAGAACTTTATGTTCTTTAGCTAAATGAGGAAATGTTTTCAGGTTGCTTAGCAACCAAAATCTCCCTGTGTTTGCTCTCAGTACATGATAGACTGAGAGTATTTTAGAGCTTTGTATTTTGTTTTTATGTGTGTTGGGGAGTGGTATGTTTACTTATCAACATGGGGCCACAATTTGAGAAATTTGAGAAAGAAAGTACCTGGTCATGTTTTTAAAATAGAAAAGTGTTTTTTCACCCTGTATTGAGTTTTACTTTGGTGAAAAACAGCAAATAGCAATAAAATAGTCAATGGGTAGTCCTCACAAAGACAGAAAAACTAATATGTTTGTGAGTACACATGCATGTAATACATGATTAAAATGAAAATAAGGACTCAATCAATTAAACAGTGCTAACAAATGTTCCTTTAAATTTAACATTTCAAATGGGAAGGCTGGATAACACACATTACCAGTACTCTAGATTCCCATCACTGTTATTGGAAGAGCACTGTCTTCTGTTTTTTTACTCCAGATGAGTTCTTAATCTCAGGCTAATTGATTTCAGGTTCTATTTGGGACATATTAATACATTTGCTTTCAGAGCTTCAAATTTCAAATATGATTTGCAACTGGTATTGACCATGTACTCATTTTTGAGTTTCAGAACTCCCCTCAGTCAGGTGTAATTAGTAATAGGTCATAACACATTGACTGAACACAATCAAATTTCTAAAAGGCAAAATGAAAAATGTAATTTTGTATGAAGTGAAGAGTTTAGCAACGGAGTGTGTTGTATTACACTTTTACATGTGCCAGTAGAGAGGACAAATGAGCCATTTAAATAAGAAATTGAGAAAAGGTAAAATAGCTAAAGTAATGGCATCAATGACCTTCTGTCTCATCCTTGCACTCTTTAACTCCATTAAGCCTTCTTTCCTATGTCCTCTTTATGGTGTTGCAATTTTCCCTAATTAACTTATTGCCTTGACAAAATGCAGCAAAGAAAGGCTCTTTTAAAGAAAACCTTATTGTGAAAGAAAATTATCAGGTGATAGCCATTAATAGAATCTTTTTCTGAGGAGAAACTTTCTTTCCTCTTACATTTTCTTTTACCCTAGTGTTGAAAGCATTAAAAGAAATTCAAAGCAACGTAGGTGTTATTCTTTATCTAGCAATAAGTGTAGACATTTGAGTTTATTCTTAACTCTGCTTTTCAAAATGTAAAAATGCCATTTTAAATGTTATTAAAAACATTATATATTTAGGTACCTTTACAGTAAATACATATTATCCTCAATTCAAAAGATACAGTATACTGTACCGTCAGTTCAGTAACAATGGTGCAGAAAAATGTCAGTTCTGCATACTGTGTTTTTATACAATATTTAAACCTGAGCTCCATTCGTGGAAAAAAAGGAAACAGTAGTACTGCTAACATATTTAAAAGGTAGAAAACGAGAGTTACTCACTCCCCTGTGTTTTTAATCTCACATTCATGTTGTTTTAATCCAGATTTATAACACCACTATGCTACCTTTTTCTTATTGCTAATTGTTTGAAGATGTTGTCTACACTTTATAGGCTAGAATGGGGCAGGACACAGACGTATTTTAAACTACTCCTATTACAAAATCAGTACGGAGCATTCTGATTTAAAAGGCTGTTTTTAATTGATTTTTTTTTTGGCATTCTTAGATTTATCTTTACCATGCGTTTTTATGCAGAAAGTGGACAACCTTTTGTTTTCGAACTAATTGTGCTCATATGTCTTTTATAACTTATTCCTCTAAACAATGGCTGATATTCATCAGCAAGAGAACATCACGTCTATGCCATTCTCACCATTTACATGAGCATTTTATAGAATAAAACTCCAGCCTTTGTGGCAAGATCCCCTGAAGATGAGGTATTGTCATCTCCTGATTTGATTCGAACAGCCCATTATGTCTCTGCTGTTGTAACAGACTCCTGCCTTTGCTGTGAAATTTCCTCTCCTAATTGCAATCCAGACATCATCTCACTTAAACCGAATTAAAGGACACCATGACACAAGACACACAGCACAAGGAAATGATGTGGCTGAATGTGATAAATAATCTGTGCCGATTACCCCCAATCTGCCAGGTACGTACCACCTTTCATCATGCCCACTTCATAACATTTTCTCAGACGGCATGCCTGGCAGCTCTTCCTCCTGTTTTTATCAATGGTGCACTGGTTTGTTGCTGGGCACATATAGTCATTGTGACCTGTAAGTAAAGAATGGTCATTTAAAGAATTTAAGTACATTCACAAATCTGTAACTGTTATATGGATAAAGGTTCTTAAATACCACAGTTCTCTGGAAATGTTTTTTCTGGCAAAAAAACCGACATAAAAATCGTATCTAACAATGGAATGCATGTATTTGTGTCTCAAATCTGAGGTTTGAAGGAGGATACACAGTAAAAGTGTGAAATCAATGCTGTTGAAGAGGAGTACATATATTTGTGTGTTCTGGGATGACATAAATGTTGAAATGGCTGAATCCACACAGAAAACAGATTCATAAAGTGTTTTGAAACTTCTTTTGTCCTCCTTCAGTGTTAAAAAATACAATCCTAGTTTGTTTCTTGAATAACAAAATGAATGTGCTTTACATCATTTCAAATGGCACACTTCACAAAGTTCTCCTGTTCTAAGTTTTGCCCAATTTTTGTAATAACATAATATTATGTAATGTAAATAATGATTTAACATTTCCTTTGGCTCCGAAATTAAGTTTACATGCATTATAATATTTTCCCCATGATAGCAAACATTGTATAGGAACAAGTGTTAAACTACAAAAGTAGTTCTCAAGTATATTTTTAAGACAGTGTACACCAATGTTGCCATGGCGAATGTTAGACTGTTGTTATGTTGTTAATGCTATTGGAGTTATGGAATTTTATTGTGTGTAAAAAATAGAATGTTCAATACTTCTAGTTTATTTCACGTGACAAATATTCTCATGACTTGAATGACTAGTACAAACGCATCACAATATGTACAGTAGTTTGATTTTGAGATTGTAAGATCTTTGTTCTAGAATGTTCAAGAATGTTCTAGTCAGACTATGAAAATGGTGCATCACAGTGGACCACAGAGTCAAATAAAATCCAATCAACCTCATACCTGCTATTTAGAAAACTTTTTTTTTTCAGTTTGAGATCGAGATTTACTGGAGGTACCAATTTGCCGAAATATTCAGCTGCCTAAACCCAAAATGTGATGAAAAAAATCAGTCCTGCTGTAGGGAGAGCAGCATGATGAGAAAAGTTTCAGAGGGAGGGAAAACATGCTGTCTCCCGACAGCCAGTCTAGACACCCACTCTTAAATCTTGTCACCTGGAGTTTCTTTTTGAAAAAAGCAGGAAATCACTTTGTTATTGATGTGATAAAGGCACAGAAATTATGCATTATAAAAAAAAGTCGGTATAGTTGTGGAACTGCACAATGTCCTTTCTTGTCTTTCAGAAAGCCTGGACTGGCACATTTTTTGCACAAAACGTCCTGTTCTAATTGTCTGTTGCAAATTCTCTGGTGCTTCATCCAAATTGCCTTATTATATGATTCAGCAGACGCTTCTCAATGGGACTGGCACAGCACGCAGGGTCCAATAACCACTCCTCCCTGTGTCAAGGTCATTTAAAACCATATCCCTGAAATTACACCAATGGCTCCACAGCTGACAGTCTCATCCTAGCAAATTGACGATAACGTCAATAACAGGTTACGTAGACAGGCCCTTGGCAGCATTTCAGACAGTTGTTTGTATGACCTGTTTTACATAATATTCATCTGTTTAAATGTAATATTGCATGGATCATGTGAATAAAATCACTGCCCACCACTGGAATAGATGGGTTTTATGGTGTTAAGCTTGTGTCTCTTTACTGAAGCCCCCTGATACATTTAGTTAGAATTATACCTTTTACAAGTGTTACATTTTAAAATGCTGTCATTTTAGAATGTACCTGTTACATTTTAAAATAAATGTCTATAGGTTAGACACAGTTTGGCTATTTTCTTTTCAATGTATCACTTCTGTTTAATTTATCGATAATGTTTGTTTGCTGTTGTCTTTGGGCTTTGTCCTTTGTTTTATGGACAAGTATCACTGAAATCTCTGGAGCATACTCTGAATTTGTTTTCAAGTGTAGCTTTGTGAAGGGAAATCATTCAAAAAGAATGACCCCAATTATTAATATGAAAGCTAAAAGTTTTTATTTTCTCCCTCTGATGTTAGGCAGATAGACTGTCACAGAAAGAGACAGAGAAAAGCAGGAGTCCCCGGTTACTCAAAAGGGCGATACCTTGGATACTTCTTTTGAAGAAGGCCTTGCAGCCCTCACAGGACCACACTCCATAGTGGTAGCCAGAGGCATAGTCACTGCACACTGCACAGTAACGGGTTTCCTTGCTTGGCTCCAAGGCCCCAACAGAAGAGTTGCCTTTGTCCACAATAGAGAGCTGCTCCCTCACCGCCTGATGTCTGTTTCCCATGCCAGACCTGCAAAACACAACATCACAGACATTTCATTGTTTATGTCTTTATCAGCAATGATGTGCGTGGACATTAGCAGGGGCTTCAGTACGAAAGGCTGCAGTATCTGTTGCCAGGAGGAACTCCGTCAATTAAAAGCATTTGGAAAGACACATTCCTGATTTGTGAAGAGAAGAAAGTAAATCCCTGAGCAGCTGGAATAGACATACATAATGTATTCATTAGTAGATAAATTTATCTGCAACTGGTAACAGACATTTTGATAGGAACTAGTGTTTATTTTGTCTTTCACATTCCAAAAATTCACAGTGAATTGCTGTCCGTATTCATTAATCCACACGATTTGATAAATCTTTGAGCCCCACTGTTTTCCTGTTTTACTTGTTCTCTTGGATATAAACGTACATAAGAAAGTCCCTGAATGTTTGACATACGGTAGTATAAATGACAAATTTTAAAACAAATCACACAATCTTGTTTTGCTTAATGTACTTAATGAAATAGCGAAAGAAAGTGACTGAGAGATTTTTCGTTTTAATGTTAGATATCTGTTAGCTTTAAAATATGCACATATTTTTATTTAAAACGTTTTTACATTCTTTCACGATATGAACCTCATTAAAAAGATAGCCAACATTGCATTAAAATAGAGCATACAATTTATGTTTTTAGTTGTATTTTCCTGATTTCAAGGTCAGCAGCACTTCCACAAATCTCAGGAATGAAAGATTATGACTTTGTACTGAGATCCTGACCAAAACATACACTGGAAATTGTTATTTCAAAGTCTTGTTAGTTATCTCAGACGCCATATGAGAGGAATTACAAAACAAAATTAATTCGTACTACGTGCTGTAGCTTTTTCAGCAGGGAAAATGCTAACACTCTTTAAGTGCTTCTCAATTAAAATTGTGTAAATTTATACTTATGTTTCTTCATTCACCACAGCATTAGTTTTGAAAGAGGTCGTAGATACAGTATATTTTCCTAATAACAGCTAATATGTCCAAAGTTTTGAAACTGCACATATTATCCATAACAATTTAGTCAAGAAAGTTTAAGATGAGTGGGGATGGAACCCATCTAGATCCTAGAAGGTTTGTGTTGTTTGTGTGCTGGACAGAACTCCATTTTTCATTAAATGACTTTATTAAAAAAGCTATGAAAGAAGTTGAGCACTTGAGTAGAATGAAGCTTTCAATTACACACACAGTGACTCATCACATAGTATTCAGAACCTTGAAGCTTAAAGTATTCGCTGCTGAATGGGGTGCTCGGCTTCATTCTAAAAAAGACAAGACCGTTCTGAAAGCCTAACAAATGAGAGGGTTTTAAATAAATTACAGCAATAAAGAGATTTCTAACTACAAAAGAGCATATGCTGAACATTAATGCTCCCTATTATATTTTTAATCTGTTTTACAGATTCATTTGTAAAGAGAGGGGACTTTTGTTGAAACATCAACAATAAATGTAATGGATCTCTTTCATAAAATGTTTTCATTATTATTCTACAAAGCTATATGTAGTAAAGAGAGTTATGTTGTAGGAAACAGAAGAGGAAAAGACTGCCTGCTAAATAAAGTTTTTCTCAGCTGTGGGGACTGTGATTACCACTTGGGTAAAAAAATTCATGTGAAATCCAAGTCTGAGGTTGTCACACAAAAAGAAAATCCATTAGTAAATGTATTACACAAAATGCATTAGTGATGCATTTTTCTTAAGAGCCAGCCTTAAAAACTAAAAGACTTAAAGGCTCTGTAAAATACCCAGTACAAATATCTAGTGAATTCTATATAAAATGCAACTGATCTTTGATGTGTAAAGATAGTCAAAGATATGAAAAGTGACAATTTACTTGCCGGATTAGTCTGCCTTTTACAGTAACTCGACACAAGTAACGCTATTGTGTAAAAGAGAAGGCAGTCAAGAAGCGTAATCCTCCCCTATGAAGTTAATACCTATGAAGTCATTACAACATTTCAGTATAGGTCTACTGACACACTATTGTAGACACCAGGGTTGCTGCTTGGGTTTAGCCAGTGTCTCCGTTTCCCTGCTAACCTCACACATTCTGCTCTGACTCCACTTGCAGCCCTGGCTAGAGAAAGATGTCTGTATTGGCAAGAAGGCCTTACCACTTTCGCACAGCTGGGCAAAAGCTGAGTGTGACAACGGAAATGGAGCACGTGCATAACAGAAGACCTTCAGTACAATGATGGCAACAAAAGAGATGCATTCCAGGCCACACCTGTAGACAGCCTGCAGTCAGAGACCTCAAAGTGCTTCTAAACTGATATGTACATGAGATCTCACCCTGTGTTATACTTGCAATTTTTCTTCCAAGCTCACAATAACTCACAATATTATGCAATTTGATTATTTGACATGCAGATAATCAAATTGGACTGACATGCAGTCAATAACTATTCTAACTTTCTGATCACCTCAAAAAATACAGAACGCAACAATGTTTTATAAAATCCTGATTATTACCTACAAAGGATATTTTACTAGCTTTACTAGCTTGCTGGATAACATGAAGGCCAGAAAACATTATCACTGCACCAGAAGGAAAACTTATGACATAGTACTTTAGTTACGATTGAATGTATGTTCTACTTTGTTGTTAAAATTGAATGCAAATTAGATGTGCATGGAATTTCAGTTAAAAGATTTAATAGTTTAATTATGTTTTTTTTCTCACAAAAATTTCAGAATGGGAAAATTTTAAAACAAAATCTGTGCTTTTTTTTAAAGATGAAAATGAAACTATGGCCTACAAAGTGGCTCAACATGTAAAGGTGCCCACCCAAGGGCAAGTAAAGGTCTGTGATCAGGGGTTCAAATGACTCACTGACTGCTAGTGACATAGCTGACTAGCTGACTGTGATCAGAATGGGTTTACTGCCAAAGGGAGTGTGGGATTAGTTGGCCAGAGTGCTTGTGGAACATAGCAACCACTGTGAGTGAGGGACGCACCTCTCCTCCAATCAGAGCTAAGCCTCCAGTACAGGGCTGTGGTGCTAGTGTCATGTCAAGAGATGATTGACTTTAAGGTGGGCAGAACAGATAAGCCTCATTCCCCCCTGTGGGCGGTAACAGGGTTCAGAGCTGTGAGCTGAGATGTGAAAAAAACGCAAATTAATTGGTTCAAAGTTAAAAATGATTGCCAGTGCTTCCTGTTTATACTAAATTGTTGTGGTGCCACAAACATGTTGACCTATGGAGCACAGTTCACCACCACATCACTATGCAGTGAGATTAAGATTTACAATATTTCTTGCCACTCTGAACTGTAATCCTCAGATAAGTATAATCACAGGAATTAAGTTAAATATTTAAAGTTCCATTATAATATTGTAGTTCTGCAATATTAAACTTAAGTAGAGCTTTACACACAACATACTTTTTTTGAAGTCACTGCATAGCATATCTGTACCTTTTGTAGGTTTTATAGTCAGAAATGGGTGAATTAAACCTTTCTGGAACACGAGACTGAAGAAGGGGCTAGTGGGGTCAAGGGGATTAAAGAATGGGGGGGACATCATTGGTGTTGTTTGTATGGTTCTCTTTTGATTGGTCTAATAGAAAACAAAAAGTCAATGACAAAAAAAAACGAAAGACTCCGCATCACACATAGAAATACATATACAAATGAACTGATATTTCAGACTTTTAAGAGCTACTGTGCCTTTAGGTGCAAGCAGTGAGGATGTGAAGAAAAATAATATAGCTCTTCTTTAAAAAGGGTAATAACAATGTAACCTTCCTACAATGAAATCTGCACTCAACAAAGAAATGATGCGTGCAAAACAACATCGATCACAAAACACAAAAAAGCTAAATCTTATAGGTCGGGCAGCGTTTTAATATAAAAGGCTGATATCTGTACCACAAGTATGGAAGAATTGAACAATTTTGTTCAATTGTGTTGTGACCAAGGCCACTGTGCCTTTAAACCAGGCAAGCAGGTCCTTTTTTTCCTTTCAGGCAAACTGTGTGCGAATATTTCTTTCCATGTTAAATTAATTAGAGTGGCTATTTGTCCACAGTTTGCCTTCTGGGAAAAAAAGGACATATCACTCTGCAAGCCAGCAGCCATATCACTCTGCAACTCACAACTGGCAACCCACTGAAGCTAAGCAGGTGTGAGCCTGGTCAGTACCTGGATGGGAGACCTCCTGGGAAGAGGTGTTAGTGGTGCCAGCAGGGGGCGCTCGCCCTGCGGTCCATGTGGGTCCTAATGCCCCAGTATAGTGACGGGGATACTATACTGTAAACAGCCGCCGTCCTTCGGATGAGATACAAAACCAAGGTCCTGATTCTCTGTGGTCATTAAAAAAATCCCAGGGCATTTCTCGAAAAGAGTAGGGGTGTAAACCCAGCGTCCTGGCCAAATTCCCATTGGCCCTTACCAATCATGGCCTCCTAATAATCCCCATCTCTGAATTGGCTTCATTACTCTGTTCTCCTCCCCACTGATAGCTGATGTGGGGTGAGTGTTCTGGCGCACTAGGGCTGCCGTCGCATCATCCAGGTGGATGATCCAACATCTTTTGTTAAATGCACAGTGGTGGTGGAGGGGAGTCCCCATTACCTGTAAAGCTCTTTGAGTGGAGTGTCCAGAAAAGCGCTATATAAGTGTAAGCAATTATTATTATTAATAAAACTAGGCCTTAGAATCTGAAGAGACCCTAACCCTAACCCTAACCGAAAGGCAGATCTCTTCAGATTCTAGACCGCTTTCTTGTTTCATAATACTGTACAAATTGGAACTGAAATTCAGTACACGTCTAATAATGCTAAAGCATCCAACATCTTTTGTTGAATGTCTGATTATATAAACTATTGAAGCAGCTGTGAAGTATTCAAGTGATGCACACCACATGCTACCTTAAGTGGCATTGCTGAAAGTAAAATGAGGTGTGTTGTTTTTTGCAAACTATAGCTTTTATGTAGTTAGAAGTTCATGCAATTAGTAATCTTATAGATTACATTGTTTTTCGCCATATTTATTAGGAAAAAATGAAACCTTTACAGTAATGCTTAATGTGAAAGTGCTATTTATTTTAAAGCAAAAAACTCAGATAAAGAACATGCCTTGGGTTCCCTTACAGTCCTGTTACCAGAGTGATTTAATACCACAAATAATTATTGAGTCTTAGTGAGAAATTAGTGAACTATTTTAATATTTTCCTTTTTAGGTCACTAATACCAAATAAAATAAAGGTATCCATAAAAAGAGTACACTAAAACACTACTGCATCTAAACGTGATTGTGAGTGAGGTTCAGTGTTCTGATAATATCCAGGGAAAATTAGAGCACATGAGCAAAACTTATTCTTGATTTATCTTCCTGGCTGTATAATTGCACTGCACTAATCCTTGAACTTTAGAATGATGTAATCATACAAATTCCCTGGATTATATGAAACAATCCACAAGAAAGAGACAGACATCAGTGTGAAGCTTAAAAAAATAATTTGTCAAAGGAGCCAGTATTTCAAAATCTGTTTCATTATATGAGTGGGAAACTCCTTCACAGTGACCACAGCAAATCTCATCTGGGACTATTCGGCTAAAATAATAAATCTTCAAAAACTTATATTAGAAGGCAACAACAAATACAAAACGAACTCATGGTCATGTTTTTCTTCCCTTTATGAACTGAGACTGCTGCAGACACTGATAATTTGAATTCTTGGCTTTTAACTAGATGTTTGTTTTTTATCTCTTAGTTCTCTTGCCTGTTTCAAAACTACTTCTGTAATTTTTTGGCGCTCTTAACAAAATCCTCTCGAATCTCAGTGAAGAACTGGAGTATTACTCCTGTTGTAACCCGTCATGTTCCTACATGACAAATACTGACACTAGTTCCCAGACACCCTTGAGTCCCTTTCTGATTTTATTGACCCTTACAGCCAGAGAACAAATTACAGGAGTCGGCTCGAACGTGAAACACGACTCGACTGAACTAATCGTACTTTTCTTTAAAGTTGTCTGGAGCGCCCATTGAGGGTGGATCTGGTTGTTTGAAAGCATGAGCAGTTTGAGAATACAGAACAGGGGCAGCTGCGATCTGGAAGCTGAAAAACAAACCGAAGGCAGCTTACCTGAAAAGAGGGGTGGTGGCAGCTTCCCTCAGCCTGTAGCTGCCCTGGTCACTCTCCAGGTAGTAGGGCAATTGCTGGCTGTGGTGGTGGGGGTGATGGACAAAAGGGGAAAGCCGAGGGTTGGAAGGCACAAACACCAGGGGGCTCGTGGGCACGCTGCCCAGGGAATGCAGATTGGCATCGGAGGCAGAGCCATGAGTGTCCACAGGTGCCGAGTGGTAGCTCACGGTGGTGGGGTTGTAGATGGGGGTGGCAGCGGGGGCCGTGGTGAACTCATAGGTGCCATCCAGGTAGTTGACAGCTGTGCTGTTCCTGTTGTCCTCCAGGTACATCTCGCCCAAGGCTCTCTCTGGGGCCAGCTTGACAGGTGAGCTGCTGAATGCTTCCAGCTCTCTCGTTTCGATCTTGTGCAGCAGAACTAATCCGGGGGGCTTGGTGTAAGGCGGCCTAGCCATGATCAGAGCAAACAGATAATTAGCATGGTTTGTTTTCTTTTTTTCTTTTCCTCCCAGCTCCCACCTAGCACTTTCAGAAGAACGTGATCCTCCTCACTCTTTACAAGACGAAAGCAGAGTGCACAGCCGGAGCCTGCCAGAGATCATTTTTGTTTTCTTATATGTGTGCGTCTGAGAGAGAGAGTGAGCGTGTGTCTGTGTGAGTGTGAGCGCTCTCGTTGCTATGAAAAGATTTTCCTCCCCCTACACCCCAACCCCTCCGACACATTCACAAACCTTTTTATAGTTTTTAACTGGTAGGTGGAGTGAGCGAGGAAACCTGGAGTGAGATATTTCACAAAAAGAAGAAGAAAATAAATCAATTGTAACTTTTTACTCCATGTCAGCATAGATTCATATCAATGACACTGGCATAAGGCCAGTCAAGGCTGAATTACACTGGCATTGGTTTAAATGATCACTTCAGGCACACGTAATTTAGTGAGGTAAGTATTACATGAATATTTTACTAAATCATACAACAAGGACAATATGTGGAGCATAAATGGCCTGGATTCAACCTGGGATTCAAGGTGATTATGTTCCTTCTGGAGGCCACAAGTGAGTCTAGGAATCACTGTTTACGTTCAACACGAACTCCTGGAAGTCAAAACTCACTCCTCAGCTTAACCTGGTGCTGAGGAGTGAGTTTGCCATGCACTAATGACGCCATGGTAACAGGTTATCACATCTGTGGTGGTCCAAGTAGGTTACTGCTTCTGATTTTACAAATATTTTTAAAAGATTACAAATACAATTTACTGGGCAGAATATTAATCTACAAATCTGAAATTCACTTTGCAATTGTAAGACATCAATGGTCGCCACAGGAATAACAGTAAAGCAACAAAACATAAAAATTGTTGTAAAGTACAGAATATACTCTGAAATCCATGTGTTATTCAGGTTCATGAGTCTCAGAGGAAGGTACCTTCGTTAACAGGTGAATGAGGATTTGGTTCAGCACAACTAATGAGGTATTTTTTATCAGCACCAAGGGGTGCTCTCTTGAGCAAATACTAAATTATCTTTTTTCAGTTTGCTGTTAAAAGGAATTCCCACTTAATACTTTTAAATATTACCAGGACACTCCCAGGTAACTTTAATTTTGGTTCTCTAATTTTAGTAAACCATGACATCACTACTGTGGTCTTGAATGTGGCAGGTAAGACTTTCTTGTGTGCAAGCTCTTCTGCACTTTTTATCTCTCTTTTTGCATTTGTTGTTAATTGTTTCATCCTTGTTGAGATTCGGTTTTAGAAAATACATTTAAAAATGTGGTAATTCTATGAAATATACTGAGTATCAAAAATAACATCACTCAATTGCACATATTTGTAAATACAATTTAAAAATGTTAGATATTGATTTAGAGCAAGTGAGAGGTTACAAATGAATGGGTGCAATTTGACTCATTTGGTAGTTAGTAATTAATTAATGCAAGGATCTCATCCAGATATTTCTTGAAAGAAGTCTGGGGATGGACATCAGCAACATAGCTCGGTAGCTTGTTCCATACTCCCACAACCCTTAAGTATTTTTGGTATTTTTAACTAATTTATCAGTCATAACCAACTGCTATATTTTTGAACGACTTTGACTGTTACATAAACACCTAATTAAGCAATTAATCACCTCATTAGTGAGAGATGGGTAGGGAGATGAGATGATTTAACCTTGACTGTCAAGAAAAAGCAAGAAAGATAAACACAGAAACACAGAAATCAACTAATGTGGCTTGCTTTTTAAGAGAACATATTTTAATTATTTCTTGCACGTATACCAAAAAAAGAAAGTCATAAACATTTTAAAGAGGCTAGAATGGGTAAGAAGCCAATAAAATCCACAAGGAAGATATCAGAGAGGTTACAGAACCAAAAGGGAAAAACAAAACAAAGGATAAGTCAATTAAATATTTGAACATACAGTCAATGTAAGCAGTGTTGGAAAAAATACATGAGACAGATGCGACCAAATGAACAGGTAATTATGATGTAATTGGAACTGCAGATATGTGGCTTGCCAAAAATGATGGAGATAAAAGTGAACTTAGTGATTACATATAGCAGGAAAAACATGAGAGGCGTGTTGTACATGTGATTTGTATGACCTCATTTTACCTTTTGTAAAAAGTGTAGTTTCCGTATGTGTTTTTTTATTTCTTACTTTTTTTTTAGTTTGCTGTAAATGGAAAAGTTTTACCATAAGAAATGTTAAACAAATTGTAACGGGTGGAAGATTAAACAGACCCAGAGGAGTGTTTGGGTATTTAGATTCCCTGGTAGTTGCCTATGTGTGCTGTTTGGAAATGGCAAGAATTTGTTCAAACAGTGGATTCAAGTTCAGGAACTAAACCAAGAGGAATCTAGGGTCTCTAAATCTATGTGTCAGGCACATAAAAACATTCTAACAGGGTAGTGTTAAGACTATGCTATTGACCAGATGGTATATATATATAAAATTAATATATATAAATATATATATAAAAAATCCAGATGGTAAATATAATTCAACATTGTGTAATGAAATTAAGAATTTATTTTTAAATCAAGAACATTTTAATGGGAGACTTCAACTTTTCCCATGTAAATTGGAAAAATCTATATATGAGAAACTGAAATAATAGACTTAGTTAATGACTGCTTGATTACTCAGTTTGTAGGAGCACCGACGAGAGAAAACATTCATATTGATCTTGTGTTATCAAACAGAATGAGGTGAACAGAGGTGAGGAAACCATACCTAATGGCATTAGGAAATGAAAGGAAATTAACATTTGACATTTACTCTGAAATACAGAGTTTACAATTTCAGGAAAGAATGAGACACATCTTAGTATGTACTGTAAGAACAGGATGGGTATGGAATGGATAGTAACAGTTTGAACAGATTCCACCTGAAGCACAGAATAAATATACTGTAAGAGTATATTTCATCATAAACCAAGACACAAATGATTAAAAAACAAGATAATCTCTTTAAAAAAGGAATAAAATGAATTGAAAGCCCAGATATAAAAGGATATAAGAGCTGATGAGAGAGATGGAAAGAAACATTTTCAGTAAAAGGTTCTTTCAGTACTACACCAGCACAAAAACCAAAGGATTAAGTAAAATGTATCTGAGAAAATAATGGAACTTCTAGGCAATCAAAAGGAAATTATGTACTAAACGAGGAAGAAGTCAACATTCCTCGGGCAGCAGAAAGACAAAGTTCTTCATTAAGAAGAGTTAATATCAAAAATGCTCTAACCACTCAAGATTAATAACTCCAGCGGTACTCAAGGAAACAAGAGATGTTATCCCTATGCCATTATAAGCTTCTTCCAAAAGTCCTTTCAGAGAAAGTTAGTGATGTTAGACTGGAGAATTGGTAATGTAGTGCCCATTCAATAAAAAGAGTGTCAAAACTGAACCAACTAATTATAGACTAGTATGTCTGACTACTATTAAATGTAAGGTTATAGAAACAATTACTAGAACTAAACGAGAGGATAACTTCTATGAGAACAAGGTCTTAAAGGATAATCAAGATGGATTTAGAAAAGGCAGGTCTTGCTTAGCTTACATGTTAGAGTTCTTTAAACAAGAAAAAACAATAACTGATACACACTAACACACAGATTATACAAAACATTTTGTTAGAGTTTCAAAAGCTTTTGATTAACTTCTTTACAAAAGATAATTTTCAAAATACAAGTGGTAGGCATTGAGGAAAATGTGTGTGGTTGAACTGAGAATTTGTTAATAGAAAACAGAGACAAGGGACAAATGCTCAAACTGGGGTAATATAATCAGTGGAGTACCACAGGATCTGTACTACGAAAGCTATTCTCCCTTATTTATATCACTGGTGTAGATTCTCTTATAGTTATCAAACTAGTGAAGTTTGTATATAACTAAATATAGTAGTATTAAAAAATAGATAAATCAAAAGACTGGCAAACATTTCTGGCTGATGAGGTTGTTTATGATGATGAACTGTAAATAAAAAAATAACATATGAAGAATACTTAGGTGTTTATGTTGACAAATGACATGCTCAAGACAATTCGAGGAAGAAATAAAAAAGGAAAAATAGAATTTTAGGATAGTTAATTGCATCTAATCAAGGGATGTTATCTTAAAATCGCATAATACACTAGAAGTGAGAAAAGAGCAACTAAATTCATTCTTGGGCTTTAAAGTCTTGAACAGAGAGGACTATGGGAAGACCTGATACCAGTATTCAAAATCCTGAAATGTATTGGCAAATTCATCCCAGAAGAGTTCTTCATAAAAACAGAGAAATGTAAACCAGAGGACTCAAATGGAAAATGGAAACTGTGTGAGATTACTCTTATGATTGAAAAGAGGTAGCATTTTCTTACCCAAAGGGTTGTGGGTTTAGGGAACAAGCTACCCAGCCATGTGGTTGAAGTCGATACCCTGGTTTTTATCAAGAAATGACTTGAGATCCTTGGATCAATTTGCTAACTACCAAACAAACTAGAGTGGCACTTAAATGGCACACAATTATCCATGCTCAATGAGAGGAATGGGCTAGCATTTGCAACCTCATGAAGTACAACTCGTACTGGTTTCCAGTGGTGACCATGCATGCTCCTAACCTATGACTTTCACAGTAGACTTCCAGTTTATCATCCCTGTTGAACACAAATGTTAAACAGTATCATGAATTGGCCTGTATCATGACTCTTCAATAAAATTTCAATGTACTACATGCTATTATTTTGTGTTGTCATTTTCCTGTTAATATCTTTGCAAATGTGTTGCAGCTATAATTCATAAGTTTCATTTTAAACAAAGTATTTTACATGAAACTAGAACTTTTTTAAGATGTCACCTTGTTTATACAGGGAGTAGGTAATCTATGAACTTTATAATTATAATATAAAACTGTTTTTTAGTGTTACAATGTGTGAAAAGAAAATATAAATAGTAATTCATTTGGACTAGCAAACATTGTTGACCACTGATTTTTTGTCAGAGTTGAATGCTTTATGTATTATATCTATTATATCTATTATACCTATATACATTACATATAGAAAAACACTTTAATAATCCTTTTTAATTACTTTAACCCCATGATCATCCTTTATCCTTTTAGAATGATTTTTCAAATAATTAGCTTGAGAAACCTTAAAAAAAACTTAAATGACCACACAAAAAAACTTGTTTTGAAGATTTTTTTTTAAACTCCAGACTTCAAAACAACCCTTTCACTTTTATCTA